AACAATGTAAAAATATCAATAGGTATAAAATATAAATATACTGTTTAAAAAAAGCGTCCATTATTCCCAAAGAGACTTGGTTTATAAATCAAAAAGAAGCAAAAAATAAAAATAAAAAAAAAATATTAAATTGAACTTTTGAGTATTACTTTTTTCTAAATTGAACTCGTTTTTTGACAGAGAAAATAAAATTGTCTGGCCGTTTGACATTTAATGTCAAAGGAAGCTAAATAAAATCGAAAAAAATATACGTTTTCAAACTAAATCTTAAATAACTTAAAAACGATTTATTTTAGGTATAGGAACATGTATAGTTAAAAAGTCGTTAATTTGGGTGGAAACAGTGGGAAATTGGGATAGGAACAGTGGGTTTCCATTTGAAAAAAATGATTTTTGATAATTTTTTAATTGCTCAATTCCATGACAGCTACCGCCATTATTATATGACATTTGAACAATTTAATTTTTGAAATAGATAGCCACATGTTTTCTCTTTATGTTACAGTGGCTGTGGTAATCACTAAATTTGGCTTTTAAGCTATACACCCTATACACATTTTTTTGACAGGTAGTTTTTTTCGTTCAAAAAATTTAAATATTTTTTTTCTCAATAACGGTTAATGTTAGGTATAGTGTATTTAACATCAATATTCGTAGAATTTTACAGAGATTTTAAGTATGTAAAAAAAATAGGGGCAGCCATTTAAAATAAGAAAGTTGCTGTCAACTTCCGATAATTCCGGAAGTGCCGCCATACTGAAAATATTTTTAATCGATAGATCTCGTTGTAAAACAATGATGTGCAAAAATCTCCGATCTAGATATTGTGGTTCTCTAGAAACTTCTAATGCACGCTTAGCCTGGGACACCCTGTATACACAATTTACATCACTAAAGCTTCATTATGGAGATTTTGCTGTGTGAACAAAGCTATTAACCCAGTAAGAAATAAAATATAAAACAGACTTAACAAAGATTAAACTCGATAAAGCTAAACTCGGAATTTTATATGCCTGGGTCGATTTTCATCTTTAGAATTTCGATGAACTTGGGGCGTAAATCTCAAATTCGGATTTCATACCGATTTGATATTGAAATAGTTGAGCGAGAGACGAATGGACTCAAATACCCCACTTAATTTGTATATGAATACGCCCTTCACAATTCTCTTCTTCTTCACTTCTTGCGTTGCCTAGGTTGTCAAGAGCATTTTGTCAAAAGACTTTAATAATGAGTACATCTGAACACCCTGTTAAATATTGTGTGTGCATTTTTCTTCATTTCAAATAAGATTTTTCTATATTTCAAATACGTGTGAATACGTGTATTTCAAAAAAAAGTGTGAGTGGATCGGGATCAGTTTTTTTAACTGGAACACCCTATATATTATTGCCTTTTTGGCTTCCTTTCAGATCACTTTACATAATCCTAAGACATGAGTAAATATATTTCGATAATTTCAGAGATATTAATCTATACTAATATATAAAATCCTTATAAGTGACTGACATACTGATTAATCACGATCCTGCTCAAACCACTCAACGTAAGAAGCTCAATTTTGGCATACAGGTTGATTCTAGGGTGTAGAGGTTCGATAAGAAGGGATTCTTCGAAATTCCAGTTCCAATGGGGTGAGACCACCCCTCAAATATTACAATATTTTTTATTTAAAAAACGGTCAAGTTTCGGAAAAAAACGCTTAAACACGTATATTTTATTTTGTTTTTTTACATATTTTAAGATTTTTAAAAACGTATACAGGGTGTTTCGAAAAATTTGGTCATTGATTAATCACGATCCTGCTTAAAGCGCTTGACGTAAAAAGCTGATTTTTGGAAAACAGATTGACTTTAGGGTGTAGAGGTTCGATAAGAAGGGATTTTTCGAAACTCGAATTCTAAGGGGGTGAAACTATCCCTCAAATATTAAAATACTTTTTATTTAAAAACCGGTGAGTTTTTAGGAAAAACTCTCAAACACATATATTTTATTTTGTTGTTTTACATATTTTAAGATTTTTTATAAATTTATACAGGGTGTTTTATAAAATATGTATGACCATTGAGTAATCACGATTTTGCTTAAATTGCTTGACGTTTAAAACTGATTTTTGGTAAACGGATTGCCTCTGGGGTGTAGAGGTTCGATAAGGAGGGGTTTCTCGAATCTCAAATTCCAAGAGGGTGAAAACGCCCCTCAAATATCACAATATTTGTTATTTAAAAACGGTTAGTCTTTCGGGAAAACGCTTGGACACGTATAATTTATTTGTTTTTTTTACATATTTAGAAATTTTTTAAAAAATCATACAGGGTGTTCCAAAAGGTTGGGTAATTGATTAACCACGATTCTGGTTAAACTGCTTGACGTAAAAAGTTTATTTTTGGCAAACGGATTTTTCAAAAGTCAAATTCCAACGAGATACTATACTTTGCTATAAAAAATATGGAAATCGCAAATCATACAGGATGTTCAAAATTCTACGCCAAACTTTCTAATATATAAAATAATTTTTCTTCGTTTTTTTTAAATGGAACACCCTGTATATTATTTTTTCAATCGATGGAGAATTAAAAAATAAACATTTTTTCTATATAGAGTATTTCAAAATTTTTAACGGTTAAAATTTGACAGCGCGCGGTTTTGAGTTTTCTGCGGTAGTTGAAAGTTTTTGTAGCTTTTGACCAACTATCTAATAATTATTAGTGTTTATTGCAAAGAAATCTATTTAAAGTAGTTTTTAACTATCTACGATGCACAGTGGTTCCCAGATAGGTCATTACTTAGAAATATTAATTTCAAAATGTTTGCATGAAACTGTGTTGCTAATACTTTTCTTATATTCCCCTGTAAACGATACATAATAACTAACAAAATCAAGTAAGCCTAGTGTAGCGCTTTTTTTATTAGAAATGTCACATTTTTGCTACGGGTATCAAGCCGACATAAACAGTTTTTAGATACCGCCAATTAATTACTTTTTTTATTAAAATTGATAAAAGCTGTTGCCTTTTCTGTAATGGACGTTCGAAAAGAAGGTAAAAAGAACTGTTTTTTCTTTTTTGCACTTAATTAAACCTAAGTAATATTAGTTTATGGCAATTTATTTAAGTTTAAGGCAACCAAAATTGTATTTTTACATTTTTCCTTGTCACTCTTTAAGACTTTTAACTACTTTCCCTTTCAAATCCTCTTAAACGGCATGATAATACTTGTTGCTTAAAGTATATTGCATATAAATTAATTGCCATTGGCTGCCGGGAATTTCCGCCGGATCTTATACCGGGTGGTTGTGGTTATAAAGATTGACTTTTTGTCTTAAAATAAAAGTAACTTATTTTTTCCTCTTCGTGTCAATTTATTTCGTGGACACACTGTATATCAATTGACAATAAAATTGTATTTATAAAATGAAACAACTGTCTCTTTTATTCTTTCAACATTTAAAATAAATTTGACCTCTTCAATACGAAAAAACATGTACATATGTGCAAACATAATCTGTATACCTTTCCGAATAGTTAGAACTTAAAATGCAAATCACACGAACTGGGCCCAATTTTTTTAATAAATATTACATTAAGTTTTTTATATAAATTTATTTAGCATTTGTTATCAATTTCGATTAAAAAAGGTGCAGTCAAGCTATATCTAGATATCTAACAGTTATGACTGCGCAGCTAATTAAGGGGAACTACTGTGCGATGGTTCGCCAGTGCATAGTTTGTAAAAAGGTGGACTATTCTAACCTGGAATTGATATTGCGACGGTAAATGTCATTACGTTTTTTTTTACCTTTAGCCATGCTTACAGTAGCGTATTTAGATATTTTTAGTTATAAGTAGATTATTAGAAAAATACGTATATTTTCTTATTTGTTGGCGCTTTCGATTGTGAAATTAGAGTTACCCTCAGTTAGACCTCAGGCAAAAATAGTTATAATGGAAATTTGGTCTGAGGTCAAGAACAGTTAACCTAATAGGACTGCTCATTCAGCCAAAAGTGTCCGCCAGGTGCATGCGAAAACTACTCGCTTTGTGACGTCATTGTAGCCCTTGTCATGGTTATTAGTCCTTATCCGGCAACTAATAATACACACACGTGCATTATTGGTTACCGAATGCAAAACGTTCATTATTTAGTTTATTTATTTAAACACCTTATATGTATGCAGTAAAGAAAATGAACTGTATAAATCGTATTAAATACTCGGATAATGCATTTTTAAGAACAGCAGGTCCCAGCATCACCTTTTGCAAGCATTCTTTTTAGAGTACTTCCATATTTTGCTTTAAAATAATTAATAAACAAAATCGTGGGCACTTAGTATGCACTTTGTCACAATCCACAACACAAAATGAACGTATTTATACACTCTATAGCTCTAAAAACTTTAAAGACACCTTTTTCACATTTAAAATTGACAAAATAATGAACTCAAAATTTCTCTGCTGTTATTTTAAGTTTACCATAGGCAACTAATAATACACACTATCATGACAAGGCCACGAAGGCTTTGACAAGGGCTACAATGACGTCACAACTGTCAGCTGAAGCGCGGGAAGAGGCGAAAGTACGTCTTATGAGGATGAGCAATCTTATTAGTTTACCGTTCTTGGTCTGAGGTAATCTCAATCAATTTTTTATAAAAAAAAAGATCACGCCACTGATAGAGCCAAATGACAGAAAGATAGACGAAACTCAACCGTGTTGTCATATTTATGTGCCCATCTCTTTTTAACTCTCGTGAAAGTGTCAAACCATGTATGGTTCTAAAAAATTGAGTTTTATGAATGGAGTGTTCTGTCTACCCATTTAGATGTCTCTGGGACCAACAAAGGATTAAAAATTCAAGATCATTTTTGGCATCCAGATCAAATCGTTGCGTGTGTTGTCCCTTTAATAAGCGATCCCGTCCCAATTATAACTCAAATGTGACACCCTGTATTTACCTCCCTCCCCAAACTTCGTCGCGCTCAAACCATTCATGATTTCAGCGCTTTAGAGCCAGCCGCGTTTCAGCTGAAACTTGAAACGCGGTTTCAGTGACTATCTTGCCGGTTCCAGCGCAAATTCTCGGGACAGATCCAGGCTTCGCGCGCGCTTTTGCTCTACAAGTTTTTCGTGACATTTTTGAGAAAGGACGCGTGTGGTTTTTGGCCGGACTTTATAACGAAATAATAAAAAGAGAAAAATATGGGAGTGCTTTAAATTAATTTGGGGTAAGTTAAATTTTAGTTATTTTTTATTAATTATTTTTTTTAATGGGGAACTAACCTAAAAAATAATTTAAGTTTTCTTTATGGGAAATTGTGGAAAACTAAAAAAAATGGACATGTGTCTTTCCTAGTTCAGTTATTTCGAAAGTTACAAGAGTTTATGTTTTTTTATATACTCAGATATACTGAGCGTAGAGTGACGGCCTAACCACGCTTGAGCAATTTTTTCAAAACGTTATATCTCTGTCAACATTCAACGTACGAAAAAAGAAAAAATACGTGTCTATTTATTCAATTGTCTACCAAAATTTAATGAAAATTAATAATATTTTTTTAGGTAAGTTCCCCAATATTTACAGTTCAGCTCATTTGTTTCGAGGTTTACAAAAAAATATTAAATATAAAAGTTATAGAGATGGTAAAGATACACATTTTAAAATTATTATACAGTATACAGGGTGCTTCAAAAAAGTGTGGCGAATATAACATGTTTTTTTAAACGTAACACCCTATTTTTTATTTTATTTTTAGATTCTGCGTAACATTCCATAACTTTTTTATGTATAATGTTATATACCTAAAATTAATAGTTTTTGTTATATTTAAATTTGTTTACACAAATGTTAGATTGCAGTGGGTTAAAAAATTGTCAATGCTGGCATTGATTCTGAAGTTGGACAACTGAAATTTGGTAGGAGTATTTTATAAAGATATAGAAAAAGACCTATGTAAAGATATTTTAGTTAGATGTAACAGGGTGTTCAAAATATATTTAGGAATTTCAACTACTTAAAATTAAGGAATTTCAATTTTTTAAAATGGTACACCCTATATATTATCATTTTTTCTGATAGATTTTACCAAACTCTTCAACTTTTATTTAGAATGTCATATACCTATTTTTATTAGTTTGCGATTTATTCTATTTTTTTCTATTTTTACTCATATTTTTAATACAATTGCGCTATAACATCATAGTTGCCATGACAAATAAAGGCAATGTTATAGGCTTGGTTGAGTCACTTTTGAGACGCACGCACCCTGTATACATTTTTTTATCATATTTTTCGTTTAATCATTTTTAAGTAAGTTGTTTTTTTATTAGATGGAGAATTAAAAAATAAACATTTTTTGTATTTAAAGTACCTATTTCGAAATTTTTAATGGTTTCGCAGATATTCGCGGTACACCTACATAATATGGATATTTCGATAAGGTGGCTTCGATGAAAATTTACTGTGGAAAATGCCATATGTACTATATTTATATTTATGTTTTTTGTATAAAATTTTTATAAAAAGCTTTGAAGTAGTTACATTTCTAACTATGGTTTGTCTTAAACAAAGCTTAAATATTTGAATATATATTAGAAAACATTATTCTAATTAGCTCTTAGCTAAAGGCTCTTTGTTTAACAAAGAAAACAAAACATACTTTATGTTTTAATTAAAAATTCTTTCTAAATAACTAATTGGTAATTTTTTAAAGCAACTGTCATGTATTTTTGTCTGTCTCATTTTTTTAGCAAAAATACTTTTTACTAACATTTAATAACTAATGTTCCTACGTATGTCTTAAAATTTTAAGTTAATGTTTTTTTTTTCACATAATTTTATGTCAACTTCAGTGTCAGTTAATTTTCCTCAATACTAATTTCTATAAACAAGTCTCTCCATTTTTTAATTATTAGACTTAAAACAAAAATTAAATACTGCAAATTTTAAACACCTCCTAAAATTAGTTCTTTGTTTGCCTTTTACTGTCTATTTTTAGGAACAATAAATAAATAGAACATTGTTTTGCTTTAAATTTTGGTTGGAATTAAAAGATTTTTATATTTTTAGAAAAATAATTTTTAAACTTCTTCATTTATTCCCAATGTTGTTACTTAACAAGTAATGTACAATTAAATCCATATTAAATCACTATGCGTCACCATAAGCGTTTGGTCCTTAAAGAAGAATAAGAAAACATACTTAACGCAATATGACGTTGCAGTCTCATTGACAGTATCAACGGAAGTCAGTAATAAGTATAAAGTTATTTTTTACATATGTTTTTCTGTTTATATACTTGGTTATTACTGTGATTTTATCTTTAATATCGTTAGTTCTGTTATCTGTTATTAAGATTTCTTATAAAACCAAGACTGTATCATTACCACTATTTACCATTATTTGATCACGTATATGTTGATCACGAATTTCTATTGAAACAATCTGGCAACTCTGATGGAAATTAAGATTGGACTGGACGCAACCTGGGGAATAAGGGCCACGAGCTAATCTAATCCCCAAATTGAGCTTCCGTATAAATTCAAAGTTATATCATTGGTATCTGTTATTTGCTAAAAGTATCATTCCACCTGCAGTTAATTTTGACGAAAATATACAGGGTGTCTAACTTCGGTTTGTGATTGTAACGGGTGTCCCACTAAGAATAGCTCTCGGCTGTATCTCGGAAAGTATTAGCCGTAGGGCTTACGGAAAAAAATATTTATACCTAAAGAGGCTATGAGAAATTGCTGGAAATAATTTTCAAGTTTGTAAAATAGCCGTTAGGGGGCGCAACTGCTATGGAAACTAAGAAAATAGAATTTTTACAGAATTTTGCCTAGATAATGGATACTATAAATAATAGTTTCATAATCTTCAGTAAATTTTGGACTTTCTTTGTTAGAACCATTTTCCCCTATCTGCTAAAATAAAGTGGTGGGGGAAGGTTAGATATATCTTTATATAAATGTTAATAACTCCGGACTGGATGATCAGAATCCAACAAACGGGGGCTCGTTTAAAAGAGTGTTTCTTACTCTATATTATACCATAAAAATAATAATAATAAGGTTTTGAACGTAGACGCTAGGGGGCGCTTTCTTATAATTCAACAAACAAAGCGCGTTTTTTCGAAAAAATTAAATACGAGAGTATATGTCATTTCAGCTGATAGTAAAGAGTAGTAAAAGCTTAAAAAGTCAGCGAAAACCGCATCTTGATATCTTCTTTCAAACCGAAGATATTAGCGAAATTATAATAAATACCAAAAAATAAGCCTTTAATTACCTTATTTTTACAATACGGTATCAGTCTAAGGTATCAGTAGCCCTCTTGTTTATGCTCATTCTAACAAAAAATATGATAGAAGAAAGAAACAGTTAGTTTATTTTAAAATCGACGAAATACCATAATACCAGATGTATTAATATGTAATAACTAAGATATTAATAATAGTGAACAAGAAACGATGATTCGGTAAAGTAATGGTAGGCTTTGGAAAAAAGTTGCTTTTCACGTAACAGTATAAACGTCAAACTGTTATTCATGCAGTGCCTTCTATTAAAAGATCAGCCTACGGGCGGGATTTATGACGTCACGCTAGTTAGATATAACGGATTAATAAATATGCTGTAGAATACATGGAAAACATAATTATTCCTCAGATTTTTGGTTTGTATTTTAAAAATGATATAGTTTAAATGAAATATACATAATATACAGTTAATAACTACAACATATATACCTATTTATAGTAATAAATACTTTGGCAATAAACTATGAACCATACAAATGCAGCAAATGTTTTACAATGTACAAATAATGTATAGGTACATAAGATAATGGGTAAAATGTAAATATATTTTAAATTTTGGGGTTTTGAAAATCGATCTAATTTAACAAAAAACATTTAATATCTACTAATAGTGATGTATTATTATTTGCATTCACAAAATTTATATGTATATTTTGCAAGTATCAATGTTCGAAAAATTATATTTACAAATAATACAATATTATCTAAAAAGGCGTCAGCGATGGCTATGAAATGAAGATCGCTGGCATTTTTATATGTTAAATTATTCTAAAATTTTTGATTTTCTTGGGATTTTAGGTTCGGGAAAAACGCTGATTAAGTTTTCATTTGGGTTTTCATTATTTTTTATTTGGTTTAAAAAAAAAACGTTACGGCTAACTATAGCCTTCACAGTGTTGTGTCATATGAGAAAAATAGTGTCGAATATAATCCAAAAATTACATATACAATATAATTCACACCTCATAATGTTTACTGCAATTAATAAACTAATATAAACTTATCAAAAGATGACCACATATTTTTTAAATTATTATTCTTAACACTAAAATTATCTACATTGACTATGGAGTACGCAGTAAACATTATGTGCGTGGTGTGAATATTTTATATGCAATTTTTGGATTATATTCGACACTATTTTTTTTCATATGACACAACACTGATGGAGGCTATAATGTTAGCCGAACCGTTTTTTTTAAACCAAATAAAATAATGAAAAAAATGAAAAAAATCAATCAACGTTTTTCAACCTAAAATTAAGAAAATCAAAAAATTTAGAATATTTAGAAACAAGGTTCAAGAATATCAATTTTTCCAAGATCGTAAAATTCTAGTTAATTATTTTATGTGTACAGTTATTTAAGGAATGTCATCGATATTCATTTCCAAGCCAACTAGACGCCGTTTTTTTTCGTTGATACCTTTATTCTTAAAACTTAATTTTGTATTATGCAAATATACCAATTTTATTGTTATTTTATTCATATTGTATTCAGCCATCACTTAAATATTTGATATTAATTTGGTATTATAAATAATCAATACTATTCATTAAAAATTACTGAACAAATATATGTTATGCTTAACATACATTATATATTATCAAACAAAAACACATTCTTCTTTTAAACTGTATCAGTCTTGTCTTTACAAAAATCTTTTTTAAAATTTGAACTCAAAATAATAATCTTTTGCATGATCTCTAATACACATATTCTTTATTTTTCCCTAGTTCATAATACCTACTTACGTGTTTGAATCTATCGAAGCTGAACCAGCAACACTTGGAGTGGAGATTCCACAATATGAATAAAATAAACATAATTGTCCAGTTTTCATTAATACCATCATGGGAGAATATTATTTTTAAATTTATTAAAGATATTTTCAATAAAATTCTCTTGATTTAT